TGGACAAACTTGCAGATGGTCGATTGAGACTTACAAATGCGGACTGGAAGAAAGTGCAAGAGTCGAGCCCTACTGCCAAACAAATGTCTAACAAAAAGCTACGGAGATGGCGCGAGTCCGGTCGGAAATTGAAGCTCTGGCCTCCTAGCATTCTCTGTGCTATCGCTGGCCATGGCGCAGCGCCCTTTTCCCTGTCCCTCTACAGCTTAACTGGCCTAACGGACAAGTCAAGACAGCGCGTCCTTGCGGCACTTATCAATTCGTCAGAGGAGGGAATCACTTCGAGGATTCTCGAGGTCGGAGCTTACATCGCCGATTCATTTCTCAAAGGTCTCGACCTCGACGAGTTCGCATGGGAGTCACTAGATGCTCTATGTCTCGACCAACCTTCGGAGAGAGAGGTCCTGAAATGGCTCCGTCGATTTCGGGTCGTTGAGGAATGTTGTTACGAACCTGAGCGCTTTCACAGATAAGAGAAGCCGGAAAACTGGCCAGGAAAATGGCCAGCAGATCTAATGACTGGGGAAGCCTTCGAACAGTAGTGTTGCTACTGTTCGAGCGCAAGCTGCACTTGCATCGAGCTGGTACGCCCGTCCCATACGGCTCACGACCGACCCTGCTCGTCTTGCTTGCTAGAGACTTGTGGGTGTGATTATTAGCACCTCCGTGGTGGCTACTACCTTCTCCGTTCCCTTACAGTTCGCGATTGCGAGCGGAAAGGCCAGGGGCTCTTTGTGGTGGGACAGCCTGGCTATACTATCTTCCACAAAGATGATGTTCTGGGGGAATTGACAGGCGAGCTGGTCCCGCCGGGTACGTTCTCTACAAACTGGGGCGCTGAGATGGCTACGGATATTGTTAGATACGATATTAAGCCGGCGGTTTGTGTGGCCCAGCTACGGTATGCTGAGGCTGGGAATCGTCTGCGCAAGGTTAACCATTGCTGCCACCTGCCTACAGCCCGCTTTAGTGGTGCGATGGTGTCTGGGCGGTTTCGCATACTTTTGCTCGCGAATAAAGACCTATATGAGGGTGAGGAAGTCACGGTAACTTACTAGGAGGGTAAGCCGTCCTTCGACTGTTTCTGTGCGCAATGCCAGCCTAACAGATGAGTGGTCCGTATCCACCCGCTATCGTTGTTTGCAGTCTCTGGAAATAGTATTTACGAAGATCCACTAGCTTCCTTCCTCGTCGTGCTAGGATTTCTCATCTAGTCTGTGCTATCTTCGTCCACAAGTAAAGGGATTGTCTGCTCGTTGCGCTGCTTGCGTACTCTTGTATCCAACTTTAGCTTGTTCCGAGTCGACAGAGATGGGAAGGCCTAACTGCAAATAACGAAACAAGAGTTGTTGGAAGTATATAGCAAGCGCGTATGCTTCATTGGTAACTTTGATGGAAGTCGTGACTAGTACCGTGTGATAGATAAACACTCTTATAACGTGAGCTTCATATTGTCGGGACTGAGAAACTCTTTTATCCGACTCCGGAGTAGACCAGGATAATCTGATAATTGGTTCGTCTCAGAACTGATAATTACAAGCTAATCTAGAGTTTAGTTGAGAAGGCTATAGTAAGGGTGAAGATGGATACCTCGAGCCGTACTTGCTATTGTTAATTGCATAGGCTATTGGTTTCTTAGCTTCCAATATTAATCTGGTGGGAGACCTTAAGGCTCCGTTATTGAGTGACGTGCTCGTAGTATTATACTCATCACAAACATACGGGAATGATCAAGGTTAGAAATGTGCGTGGCTGTACTTGGTTTGAAGGTCCCTCTAACAAACCCCAGTTTATTACTTCATCGTGTACAAGTCAGAGATTGTCTGGGACGTCTTTGAACTTCCTTGAAGATAAGGGTAAGGTTTTAGGTTGAGGTGGTCTTCTTGCGCCCTTGGGAACTTCTCTCGCGCATACCTATAGAAAGCCGGCGAAACTTCATAGTGTTCTATCAACCTTGAGTGGATTGTACCCCCAATTTCAGTGTTCGCCTAGTAGGTCCGAGGAGAATGGCCGTCGTGGAGGGCTCCTCGAGTGGGGGCGGCCGGAGCATCTGTGACCTTCCAACTATAAAAGCCGCGAGATCTCCCACCTCAGGTCTGGCATTTTCTTTCCTGAACACAACATCGACATTCCTCCTGGTAGCAGTCTCTCCACCCCAATCCTATCATCATATTCCTCATTGTCCTCGTCACCACCAGGCATACATCATTTGAAGTTCGAGCATTCGCCATGAGCGGCCAGAACGATCAGACCAGCCGCACTTCCCTGTAGCATTCCAGCACTTCCCATGGTCCAGGACTGTCCATATCCCAAGGACCATCTAGACTTGACGTTCTTAACGACGCAAAATGTCGGCCTGATGCCAATTCCAAGCCTGCCCGGGCAGCCAGACGGCCTCAAGCCGGAGAAGAAAACATGGCAAAAGATATCGCACCCAAAGCTGGCAACTCAAGTTTCTCGGAGACCCCACAGGCCAAACGGCCTATGGAAGTAGTACAATACCACGTGCCGCAGCCCAACGAGGGTTCCCGGCATGCGGGATCCCCAACCAGTGCCCACGTCGCTAAGAATCCGAACTTGGCCAGTTCGGGCGGACTGGCCAGGGCGGCCGTCCCTACCAGCCACGAACCTAGAGCGTGCGTCTCAGCGCCACAGAGCAATCTTTCAGCTTCGCCTGCGGTCCGCTCTGTGGACTCCCACTAAGGTGATTTACAGCCTGAAGCGGCTAAGAACGAGAAGTCATTAGCACCTGGCGAGGTTGTAAACCAGCCTTCAACTTACCAGAAGGTATCGACGTCTGAGTAACAAATTCTTGAAGGTTACAAAATGAGCCTGGGCAGCGTCCTTCAGAGTTCAATAGTTCCAGAGTCTCATGGCTCAAAACGAGCTGTAGATGAGGAACATCGTCAAGGACAAAGAGGTAGAAGGGCGATGGGATTAAGGTCGAAGTATCTCGTTAAAGGTATGACCCGATTATCAACCTTACCCTCAGCAAAGATTCCGAGACCGGCCATATCAAATACTACACTTCATGGGCGCCATCATTTGTTCCACCTTCGTCTTTTAGATGTGACAAGCCCTGGAACAAGCTAGAGACCCCGGTGTCCAAGATGTACGGGAAAGCCGGCGTATCGAAGCTGTATGAGGCGGTGAGACCCGGAAGGACTAGGAAATCTTAGACTGCTAAGAAGACAACTAAGGTTACCGATGCTAGCTTAACTTAGATAAGTTGTTCTCTTCCAAGGGTTACCCCACCTATGACATCAAGGCGTTCTATATCGACCTTAACGAAGAAGAGGGGCTCCGTGTCCTGGTCGACTGGTAAGACACTGAAGTGAATCTTCAAGATCTGGACCTAGTAGGTATGTGTCTCGCAAAGAAACTTACGAGGAATCAGTTCGGCGGAAAAGTCTGGATGACTGAAGCAGAACTTGCGGGATTCGGGTCTGCTGATCCAGATTGCGATATCTGCATGTCCGATGTTTTTTGCCTAATGCACGAAGCTATTGATGATTGATTGGTCAATATTAATCAGGCAGGAATAAGTTGGAGGAGCGTTTCCATGAGTTATTAGTATTTTGTTTGACTATTGAGCTAGTATTTCATATTGTAACGGTCTTATGAATGTAAGGTGTTTAGTGCTACCCGCCCTTCCACCTTTGCTTAAGTTGGTCAGGCTCATTGGGCATTGCTTGCGGCTGGTCGGTGTTGAATTGGGGCCCTGCCTAAGGTTTACTCGGTGTTCATAGAGGAATAACGGTGTTCAAAAGATGGGTGTTTATGTCACAGAAGGGCGCAGCCACTCGGCCGCCTGATGACCATGAGTCCAGAGCTTTTCATACCCAACATATCAGCATGTGATATGACGGCGTTTTTGTATTTGGAATCAAAAAGAACTTATTGTGACAAACAGAGATTCCCGTCCACGTGCTCGCACGCTTATGCCTTAATTTGCAATGTGTCTACTATATGCCTAGTCAGTCGGTGTTCGCGTGTGATTCGACTTTTCCATAGGTACTTTGCGATTGCCGTCAGCTCATGATTCAGTGATTCGTATGGCGGTGCCAAATTTTTGAATTTATTGCTTGAACAGCGCCAGCTCGTGCTAGATCCTTGAGCCATAACTCGCACTGCCGTGGGGACTGCGTCTTGACGAGCCAACCATGGCCTCTTGCCTTATCGTCGCTCACCGCCATCTCCTGCCCCACGCATGCCGGGAGGCTCCTCGGCTTCGGCTTGATGCGCAAGCCCACCGACAAGCCGAGCTCCAGGCAGATATATGTCTTCGGGTAGTCAACGACAAATCTTGCGACACGAGTCACATTTGTGACCTTTCGAGCACGTGAACTTTATCTGCCAAAAACACGACCAGAGAGTTCTCAATTGGTTAGGACAAAGCCCCTAGTCACAACACCATGGACAATGTCAAGGTTCGCGCACAGCTGCCAACGGTTCCCTACCCTCTGGTGTCGGAAGGCCGCAGCGAGATTCGCACGGAACGCCTAATACTACGACCATTCACGCAAGATGTTCTGGAGGATATGCATTCGCTACGCATACAGCCCGAGGTCATGGTCTTCACCCGCCGAGGCGTGCCGGACAAAGATCTCGCCGAGACACAAGAGCGCATCAATCCGGTCTTGCCGCCCAACGATGCAACAACGCACCATTGGGCGGTCTACGAGGCAGCCACGGGTGAAATGGTGGGCTGTGGTGGTTTCTGGGCGTTCAGCAGTCTGATGGGGTGGCCCGAGGTCGGATACATGTTCAAGAAGGAGCACTGGGGGCAAGGCTATGCGACAGAGTTCCTACAAGCCTGGCTGACATCGTGGTGGGAGCTGCCACGATCAGAAGTTGAGCTGGAAGTGCCGATCAGCACGGTGGACGACGTGCCGGCTGGCGCCGACGGCACGAGGATGGTGGGTGCAGACCGCGTGGTTGCCATGATCGAGGCACACAACGTGCCGAGCCAACGCGTCTTGGAGAAGTGCGGTTTCCGCAAGACGGGCGAGTTCAACGAGCCAGACGTCAGGCCAGGCAAGGAAGGCGCCGAGGTGGCGCTCGTCGGGTTCGTGGCCACTCGGCCAACGAGGAATGTCTGACCTGAGGCTGGTCAAGTGCTCGGGGCCAGGGTGGACGCAGGCATGAGTAAGCGTTTTGGGTTGGGTGCTTTCTGAGTAACGCTGGAGTGTCGAGTCGCAAAACCCCATTACAGTATCTTGCTGAGCGCTGGACGAATGAGGGCAGGGGTGGCCGGCGATGGCTGGGCCGCTGAGCGGACTCGGGGATGCGGGCTATTTGTGGGCTGGCACGGTCCCGGCCGAGGCAGTCATTGTTCTGTCCAGCCAGCCCGAATGGGGATGTTGTTTTGTTGACGCGACCATGTCCTCGTCGCGGCAAAGACGCCCTGACCCAAGCTCTATTGTCGACCGCGCTAGGTCTAACGGCTACCAAAGCAGAAGGCACGAGGAGAACGACAGGCAGAGAGGCCTCCGGAAATTCGATGACAAGACACTGAAGACGCAGGACAGAGTATTGCATATCTACACCACGTAAGCCTTGCTCAACCAAAGAAACGGGCTGCTCCTAACGGATACAGATGGTCTTGGGGAAATAGTGACCACCGGGGCAGTTTTGACGACTTCGAATTGCAGGCCCTTCGCCCAGGCGCTCCAGTTCCAGAGATTCACTCACTGAAGGACTTCTGGAGGTTTTACAAAGACCAAGCTCGTGGTCGGCTAAGTTCGCGGCCGACAGTGAGGACTCTTCGCTCCTGCGCGAAATCCTTCAAAGCCGGATTCCTGCGGCGGACTGGGAACACACTGAGCGAGGCGGACACAGCAGAGATTAACTCGGTACGGACCTCCTTTGCCCTTATCCCCGCAATACTAACGTACTTTGCAGTGGATGCTTAACGTGCTATCTCAGGAGGAGCATAGTGGCGTTCGGGACCTAGAGATGCCGAAGTACAACTATCAACACGAAGATCTCGATCGAAACATCTCAACCTTATGGACGTCCGCCGAACTCGGTTATATTCATGAACGCAATCGTCTCCAGTTCCATTTCTTGCTGCTTCTGTTTTGCAACAGTGCAGGTCGATGCGGCGCTGTCTTCAACAAAGGCCTGCCCTACAAGGTAAGCCTCGGACCTTCTACGAACAAGATCTGATATTCACATATTCACATCACAGGATATACGCCTCGTTCTAAAAAGGACCGAAGGCAAGCCTCACTTTCTGTACAGGCCCGATCAACGTCATGTGAAGAACAATAAGGATCCGACGAACAAGAAGTACGTCATCACTGGACTGGTATCAGGTCAATGCTAACATGGGGTAGATTTGGTATCACAGGCTACGAGCATGCGGTTCTTCGTTACGACGTTGTCTTTCTCCTTATCAACTTTGCGATAGCAGATGGGGCTTTGGATCGCCATGCTTTCATGCGCATCATAGATGGAGAGGGCGAGGGCCCTATCGAGTGGCTTCCCGAAGCTCAAGATCGCTTCATCTGCCAAGCTCTCGACAGTAGCGGGAATTGCCATCCAAGCAAGTGGATGACCGGATCGACGTTCGACAGTATCTTTGCGCGCGTACTGATGAAGGACTACAACTACAGCAAAGCCTCTGTGCACGCCATTCAGCGCCAAGTCGCCAAGGGGTTGGATGGTACGTATCTGTTCGCATCTATGTGAGCAAGGCGCTAAGTATTGGCTAGAACGCTATACCGAAACGGAGCGGTCACAGCATGTTCTGCATACTGATCCCCGGATCATGGGACAAAGTTACGTAGCTTTTGTTTCATCTTGCGACACGTTGCTGTCCTGTATGACGCCTAACCCCAGGCGGCATGAGCATTTACGACCCATCGCCTGGATTGCGGTGCACATTTTGCCAGGCCAAGAGAAATGAGGTACATCAATTTGTGTGGAAAGCGCTAGTAAATTAATGTATCCTTATTCTTTTGGAGACTGGTTGGTTGGCATGCCAGTCACGTGATGCAATTTGGGCCAGTCAGAAACGTTAGTGGCAGTGATGTAAGGCTGACGTCTGCAGTCGGGGTCGGGGTAACCCTCCCCACGAAACGCCATGGGTGACAGCAGCCGTTTTCGGGCATCTATGTCCAAGGCTTCAGTCAATATATACCAGTCACCGCTGGCCATTCGATCCCCAATAGGACCGTCTGATGGGCGGGGGATATGTGGTCATTGATATAAAGCCTCACCATTCTTCCCTTTACACTCCTTGCACTAGTGCACACCGGCTAGCTCCTTTTCCTCCTGCTCTGGTTTCAGTTTTGATATCTGACGTTCCAGAGCCGAGATATCTTCTCGGTCCTACTCACCTATTCCTGTTATGTCCGCTCCAGGTCGTGGTGGCTCGTTTCGTGGTGGCGGCGGAGGACGTGGCCCTAGACGGGGAGGTTTTGGGGGTGATTCTAGTAGAGGCCGCAGTGCCCGTGGAGGCTTCCAAGGCAGAGGAAGGGGCGGCGTGACTGTTTCGGTGTTCTCGTACGTATATCTAGCATGGTTTTGCCCCTCTCCTCCACGACTCTACTGACACCAACGATGGAGGACTCCCGATCGAATCATCCCTGTTCCAAACACGGTTGTCGCGAAGACCGAAGATGCCCTTCTGGCCGCTACCAAAGGTGGCCTCAGTCTCGCCGGCTTAAAGTTACGAGAGGGGTTTCCTTGTCGTCCCGGCTTCGGCACGAAAGGCACACCCGTGACGCTGTGGGCCAACTATTTCGAAATGTGTCCACCCCCAAAAGTCATGTTCTACCGATACGATATTGCTGTTTCACCCGCGGTCGCCGGAAGAAAGCTTAGCCAGGTCGTCAGGCTGTTACTGGAGTCCGAAGAATTGATGGAATTTCGACTGGATGTGGCCACTGACTTCAAGTCAACTCTTGTGTCGCGTCAGAAGTTGCCCGCGGATGAGACGGTTGCCAAAATCCAGTACCGCTCGGAAGATGAGGACGAACCTCGACAAAATGCCACCCAATACGAAGTTCGTCTCCTATACACGAATACCTTGAGTGTCTCGCATCTGATCGAGTATCTCACATCTACGAACATAAGCGCGCGGTTCAACGACGCTCAGTCTCTGGTTCAGGCCTTCAACATCTTCCTCAACCATCACTCAAAGCTGACGGGGAATTTGGCTACGATTGGGGCTAGCAAGAAATTCTCTCTAGCCGATAACGCGGATAAGTGGGATCTTGGCACAGGATTGACGGCAATACGAGGCTTCTTTTCGAGCGTGAGGGTGGCAACCTGCCGCCTCCTCGTCAATGTGAATGTCAGCCACGGTGCCTTTTATGAAGCAGGGCCGCTGGACAAGATCATGTTCATGTACTACTCTGCTCACCAAAGAAGCAAGTACAAACTGAACAACTTCCTCGCGAAGCTCAAGGTGGGGCCTACTCACCTGCCAGAAAGGAAGAACAAAAAGGGTGAAATCGTGCGGAAAGTCAAGACCATTGTTGGCCTCGCCAACACGAATGACGGACACGGCCTCCAGCACCCCCCAAGGGTAAAAGAGTTCGGTGCGGGTCCTAAGGATGTGGAGTTCTGGCTCGAAGGCGGTGGGGGAGGCCAGCCGGCCAGCTCACCAGGAGCTGGAAGTCAGGAGGAAGGTAAAAAGAAAAAGAAGAAATGGAAACAGGCAGGCCCTTCCGACAAGCCATCGTCGACCTCGTCCAGTGGCGGATACATCAGTGTTTACGAATTCTTTTGGACCAGTGAGTCTCTGAATGCCTGCTGGGGAGCTCATTTTATAATAACTGTCCGAATAGAATATAATTGGCAGACCAACCCCATGATCCCCATCATCAACGTCGGTACACGAGATACCCCAAGCTATCTTCCACCTGAGGTCTGTGTCGTCGTTCCAGGTCAGAACTCAAACTCAAAGCTCAACCCCGCGCAAACCCAACAAATGATACAGTTTGCTGTACGGAGCCCATGGGAGAATGCTGCTTCAATAGTCCGCGATGGTTTTCAAACAGTTGGTCTTTCATCACAGGCGAACGTGCTTCTGGTAGGTAACACCCTCTTTATCGCTGCACACCGCGACTCACTCTTTATGACAGGATCGGTTTGGCGTATCGGTCCCACCTCAGTTGATCACTGTGTCAGGGAGGGTTCTCAACGAGCCTAAGGTCTTGTACAAAGAGGGGAAGCCTGCCCCGGTGCGCTCTGGCAGCTGGAATATGGTTAACGTGAAGTTAAACACCACCGGGACTATGACGAATTGGTCGTACCTACTCATTTCGATACCTGATCGGCGGGATGCATTTGATCAAGCAGGTCTCATCGCTATGCTCGTCAAGTTTCAAGAGGCTTTGCGCAAAACCGGAATGGTCGTGGCCCCCCCGGCTCTGGGACGAAGACTAGTCCTGAGAGACCAGGATGACCCGGAGCTCGACAACGTCTTCAAAATTAGCTGCCAAGTCCTTACACCTGCTTTTCATTATCCTACCAGATACCACCCCCCTCTACAACAGGATCAAACACTGCGGCGACGTTAAGTACGGGATCCAAACTATCTGCGTTGTTGGCCATAAGATTGCCAAAGAGAAGGGCCAGGACCAGTACTTCGCCAATGTCGCCCTGAAGCTCAACCTGAAACTGCGCGGAAACAACCAGCTACTCGATAAACCACGCCTTGGTATAATCAACGAGAATAAGACTATGGTTGTCGGTATTGACGTCACACACCCGTCTCCTGGGTCTAGTTCTCGCGCGCCAAGCATCGCCGGGATGGTTGCCAGCGTTGATAGGTGGCTTGGCCAGTGGCCTGCAGTTCTCCGGGTCCAGGCCGGCGCTCGCCAGGAAATGGTCACGGACCTGTCAGACATGCTTAAATCACGCCTCCAGCTGTGGAAAACCAAAGGACACCACCAGTCCCTGCCCGAGAATATCTTGGTATACCGTGACGGCGTCTCCGAGGGTCAGTATGACAAAGTCATCGATGAGGAACTTCCGCGGCTGCGCAAGGCATGTACGGAGGTGTATCCGACCTCTGACCAGAAAAAGGACCTCCCACATTTCACCATCGTCATTGTCGGTAAGCGTCACCACACGCGATTTTACCCGACCAAGGAAGCCAACGCCGACCGGTCCGGCAACCCGAAGCCCGGCACCATCGTCGACCGCGGTGTCACAGAGGCACGTAACTGGGACTTCTTCCTCCAAGCGCACGCAGCCATCCAGGGCACCGCGCGTCCAGGGCACTACGTTGTCGTGCTCGATGAGATCTTCCGAGCTCGCTATGCCAAGACGTTGCCGCCGGACTGCAGCAACGTGGCGGATGTGCTTGAGGACCTAACGCAGAGCTTGTGCTATGTGTATGGGCGTACGACCAAGCCAGTCAGTCTGTGTACGCCGGCTTACTATGCTGATATTGTCTGTGAGAGGGCTAGGTGCTATCTGAGTGGTGTCTTTGACACGCCGACACAGTCCGCGGAGCCGTCACTGGCCGGAAGTCAGACGGAGGGGTTGCAAGTTGGGAATGAAGATGTGAGGATTCATGAGAAGTTGAAGGATACCATGTTTTATATTTAAGCAGCGGAAGAAGCGGGGAAGCTGGGATCTTGCAGTCCTTGATTTTGGTCACGGAATTAAGGGATGCTCTATTCGGCCACTGACTCAAACTTTCGCCTGGATGCGAATTTTAGCCTCAGGTTCAGAACTAAAATGGCCCAGTATTGCCTGGACACACCCACTGTTGGTACCCATGCTCGGGAGGATGGCTCGTGGACGACGAAGTGTTCTCCGATGCGACCAGCGATGTAGGTATTTGTGTCATTATCCGCCCGGCGGTAGGGATCACGCCTTTCGTCCCAAAAGTGATCGAAGAGCAAGGTGACGGCATCGGCTTCGCGAGGCAACGCACAAATTATGGCACTGTGGAATTGCGTGCGGTCATGAGGTGGTTGGGACGCCATTGTGGTTGTCGAGTGCAGAAAAGTGAACGTGCCAAGTATAGGCTGGGGTTGTTTAAATACCGTCACGTGAGCGGTTGGTTGGCTGTATCAGTGTTGGTGACCTGCACGGGCTGCTGCAGGTCGAGCTCGCCTGAACACGAACCGTGACCTGCTGACGCGCAGCAATCAAGTCGCCAGGCTCAGCTACGGCACAACGCAGGCCATCGCGTCAAGACCTGGTCGCAACCGTGTCGAGACGCGTCGCTGGCGTGTTCGTTCGCGTGTTGGAATTGTCGGGATGGACATCCACGGCCAGACAATCCAGAATGGCGGCTCCGGAAGTATCGCAATCGGCCGCGACAATATCGCTGTGACGGGCGACTTGTACATGGGTTCGTTAGCCCTATTCCTTCACCTCAATCGTTAATAACGTAAATACAGGAAGCAACGGCCCCGGGGAAGACGCTGCGTGTCTTAGGGACCTTCGAGCCACCGACCCGCGCCATGATAAGATACGAATCGAGCAAACAAAAGGTGGCCTCCTCCCAGCCTCGTACCGCTGGATTCTGGACAACGCCGAGTTTAGACAATGGCGCGATGACCCAGAGACACGCCTGCTCCGGATCATGGGCGACCCTGGCAAAGGCAAAAGCATGCTCCTCTGCGGCATCATCGACGAGCTGACGCCAGTCACCGGCAGGAGCCTGTCCTATTTCTTCTGCCAGGACACTGACGCGCGTATCAACAGTGCGACAGCTGTGCTTCGGGGGCTTATCTACATGCTCGTTGGCCAGCAGCCGTCGCTGATCGGACACCTGCGGAAACAGTACGACCACGCCGGCCGAGCTTTGTTCGAGGATGCGAACGCCTGGATTGCGTTGTCCGAGATTTTAACGGACATCTTACGGGACCCTGCGCTTCCGCCGGTCTTCATAGTCATCGATGCCCTCGATGAATGTACGAAGGACTTGCCGAGTCTGCTGGGCTTCATCTCTCGAACCGTAGGGAAGTCTCCGGCCAAGTGGCTCGTATCGAGCCGCAACAACATCGACATCGAGCGCAGGCTGCGTCTAAATCCTTCGGGCGCTCGGCTCAGCCTTGAGCTGAGAGAGAACGCAGAGCAGGTCGCACACGCGGTCGACGCATACATTGACTATTGTGTCTCCCAGCTGCTTGTAATTTCGGATGTTGCGCTTGAAGGCCAAGTTAAAGACACGCTGCGCCAGAAGGCTGATGGAACATTTCTCTGGGTTTCCCTTGTCGTCCCGGAGCTCCGCGACACAATGAGCTTGGACATGTTAGAGGTCATTGATGAGACGCCGTCCGACTTGACAAGCGTCTACCGCAGGATGATGGACCGTCTTCAGCGGCTACCACGTGGTTCGGGTCGCTGCCTGGAAATGCTCTCGGTCGTTGTAACAGCATATCGCCCACTTCATCTCAAAGAGCTCCGCGTTCTGTCTAAATTGCTCGAAAGATGTAGCACAGACGATTGCAGACAGGCAGTGGCCATGTGCGGGTCCTTCCTTACAGTCCGAGAGGAGCACGTATACATTGTCCACCAGTCCGCCAAGGACTTCTTGTCCGCAGACGCCTCACTTTTTATATTTCCTTCGGGAGTGGGAAGGGTGCACCACGGAATAGTATACAGGTCGCTCCAGTGCTTGTCCACGACGTTACGGCGAGACATATACAACCTTCGTCAGCCCGGTGCTGCAATTGAGGACGTCATTATACCTTCTCCGGATCCACTCTTCGATGTTCGGTACGCATGCACCTACTGGATACGCCACCTCCTCGAGCCGAACGCTGGATTGCAGGACGACGACATAATGAACTCAGTCGCTACATTCCTTCGGATCCACTTTCTCCATTGGCTCGAGGGTCTGAGTCTTGTGAAACAACTGCCTGGCGCTGTTGTGCCCTTGAGCAGACTTGCCAGTGAGTTACTAGCGCATCGACCACTCGAGCTTCGAAACACAGGACACGTTGTCCCGTACTCGACGATTGACATGGAGGAAAACAGTCTACATGGCTTTCTTCAGGATGCACACCGCTTTGCTACGTACTATCGATGGATAATTGAGAACCATCCGCTACAGGTCTATGCGTCTGCATTGGTGTTTAGCCCTGCGCGCAGCCGCGTTAGGATGACTTTTCAACACGAAGAACCGACTTGGATCAAAATGAAGCCGGCCATGGAAGATCAGTGGAATGAATGCCTCCAGACGCTGGAGGGCCATAGCGATGCGGTCAACTCGGTCGTGTTCTCGCACGACGGCTGCCGGCTCGCGTCGGCGTCGGGCGACAAGACTGTCAAGGTGTGGGATGCCACGACAGGCCAATGCCTCCAGACACTCGATATGGGGATGAAAGTATCTCATATCGAGTTTAACAAACAAGGGGACTGCCTCCACACTGATCTTGGCACATTTACGCTTTTACCTACGGCATTAGAACAAGCCTCTTCGATCTTATCCACGCCCTTTTCACATTCGTCTTTGAACGGGCAGCGTCGTGGCTATGGTCTAAGCGCAGATCGCACTTGGATTGTTTTCGACGATGAAAAATGGCTCTGGCTACCACCAGAGTATCGTCCTACTGTATCAGCCGTAGGTAAGAGGAGGGTAGCTGTTGGATGTGCGTCTGGCCGCGTGCTACAATGGGCATTTTAATGCGAGATTTTGCTTGGATTGCGGGTAGCCTACTAGGTCGTACTTTCCCTGCCTTTTCTTTCCATTCTTTATTCCATGTTATTTAGGGCGGCAATTACTACACGGGCATGAAGAATTGCTACCCGGGCATGACTCTTACACGGGCATGACCTTTTGCAGCCTCTGATTGGTCCATCCCTTTTTGTTAGTGCATCTAGATTCTGCCAACGCTTCCCTTGTACCTCGGGATTAGCTCTCCACCACGACGATCGACGACACATATGGAAGCTATTCACTAGCTAGCTACTACACCAATTACCTCTTGTCGCATGTCAAGCCTACTGATAATGATTGTTCGTGAAAGATACCATATTTGTCAAGGTCCCAGGGCTCCAGGCGTGGTGTGTTAGGCCCCCTGCTGAGACCAACACTCAAACACACGCTGTATCAGGAATATCCAATAGCCTCATCTTCCAAGGCATCTGCATCACAAAGCAGGTCATTCCTTTGTGCTGAAATTGGTCCCCTCTTTCCTTCTTTCATAGTCAAATCAACTGCCCCTTTAACCATGCTCTCATCCGTGCGTGCGACACTCTTCCTGTCGCGATCAAGGCCGTCATTATGTCCCAGCCCGACTCTCGATCTAGCTCAGCAAGCAACCAACGACTTCGAAGCTATCAATTACGTCCTCGAAAACGACAGCGGCAGAACCAATCTGAGAGTTCAAGACCACCTTCGTCTAATAGCACAGGGACGAGCATTGGCCCACACTATGGCGTGGGAGACGACGAGGCACTCTGTAATGCTTTCGCCTCGTACCCAGAGACCTTCACGACCGCTCCACGCCCCTATGGATCGCGTGGGCTGAACGAGCCACCATGGGAGCTGCGATTCGATCATGAGATTCACCTATCGAATGATTTCCCAACCCGAGGAAGACGGTCGCAACGAGTAAGAATGCCTATACCAGGCCCGGAAATCGACCAGCCACCTGCCTGCTCTCCACAACAATCAGCACAAGAACAATTCTCTCCAACAAGACCCCAGTTTCAGTCCGCCCTTAGGCTAGTGCGCGAGGTGATTGGGACAGATCGAAGACTTACCATCGAGCTCGTCCGGTCATACGAACGAGTCCGCCAATGGCGCGAGATATGGGGCTACTCGCCGCTCAGTTCAACTCCATTCGAATCATCTCCGCCATACTCGCCTCCCCGAGAAAGGCACTCTCCGCCTATCGCCTCGCCGCCCTCGCCCGACCACCCCTTGTCGCCTGTCCCTGACCCGATCCCGAACCCACCTATCCCAGGCGACCCAGCGCCGTCAGCCGAAGTCCTGTTCGAGTGGGTGAATACTTTCGCGAAGGCTAATGGCTTCGGTATTGTTCGACGAAATGCCTACTCATATAAGGGTCGGAAGATCCGGTACTCTTTCCAATGCGATCGATTCGGAGAACCACGCCCCTCAGAGAGTACCGGTATTCGGCAACGGAAGTCTCGAAAGTGTGGTTGTAAATGGATGGTCATTGCCGAAGCACTGGAGGAGGGTAGATGGCTTCTACGACACCACGATAATTCCGAGCATAGCCAGCATAACCACGGGGCCAGTATCAAACCATCCGCCCATCCCTCCCACAGACGACTTACTACACCTATCAGGGCAACAGTCGAATCGACAAGCCGTCGGGTCGGAATTCGGGCCCGTGACGTACGCGCGATCGTCCTGGAGCAGCATCCCGAGTCATCTTTTACACGAAAGGATATCTATAACGCCAGGTCTCGTATCAGCCGAGACAAGTTGAGCGGCCACACTCCTACTGCAGCACTGATCAAGCTGTTCGACGAGATGGAGATTCCCTATCTTGTTAAGTGGGCGGATGATGAGCCAAACCGCCTCGTCGGTCTTGTCTGGACCTTTCCGTACTGCCTCCAGATGTGGAAGCGGTTTCCTGAGGTCATCAGCTTCGACAACACATACAACACCAACC